TAAATAATATAGGAAATATTTCAATTTGCCTTTATATTCATTAATTTATATATGTATTTTTTAGTGAGGTAATTGAATTATTTACATAGACACGTGATTTCCATTCGTAACTGATTGACAAAAAAAAATATATATATATCCATGGTATATAAATGTTAACAGTTTATGTGAGTTTTGGTAACTAGGAGAGTAATTTTGTTTAGCTCTATGATGTGAAACTCATTTAAATTTTAACTAGAAATGGGCAAAAATAAATAAATTCGTGTATTATTGTAATTTAGAGGAGAACAGACTTCCCTCCACTGCCCCTCCCCCCTCCTCTCTTCCTTCCTTGCCTTCTCCAGTTCCCCTCCTTTCCTTCCTCCTCCCTCACCTTATCTTCTTCAGTTCCCCCTCCCCCCCTCCCTCTCCCCTGCCTCCTCTATATAGATCAGCTCAAATAATGCCCAACTTTAAACTAATTACAGGCAACAAAACTCCCTCCCTACACCTCTATACCCCAAGACACTACTCCTCTCTCCCACCGCCACTACCTTAGAAACTTTTCCCGCCTTAGTGTCCTCTTTCACGACGGTAAACAAATACTTCCAAACTTTTACTAATGAAGCCAGCTGCATCCCAAGTTCAGATAGCTGATCTCCTTGGGCTGAGGGTAGTGGTGGTGTTGGGTGATAACTTCCTAACTTGAGATAATTGATATACACAATCGAAACTTAACTTTTGGATAGCTAAATGTGAACGAAAACGTCATAATTAATTTGTTGTTGGAAAATATGTTTGTAATAATATCCTGACTTTGGATAGTTGGTGTAAGTAATAACATCCTAACTTCAGATAGTTAATTTAGACAGTAACATCCTAACTTCGGATGTCTTTAGTAATCGAAATAATAGAATTTGGTCTAAGAAACAACATCCTGACTTTGGATAACTGATCTAAATAACAGAATTCTACCTTCGGAAAATTAGCCCACCTCCCGTTTGTACCAGTATTCCGAACTGTGGATAGGCGACCTCACTCTCTCGTAAATTAAATGGTTGAGGAATACCTCCCTTGGCGTGCCTGGTAGTCACGGTTCTGGTGATGGTAATGGTTCAGGTGATAGTGAATGGTGTTGGTGATGATGATTGTGATTGGAGATAGTGAAGCTTTTGCGCTGTTCTGGCTGCTCCGCCACACCTAATTTGGTGGAAGGAGAGAGAGAGAGAGAGAGAGAGAGAGAGAGACTACTCAGCCTCCATCCACCAATCTGGCAGGGCTCGACATTTACATATGATTTCTCCATCACTAACAAGAGGCAGGTTTGCAGCCTTTCTATAAAGACCTCCACACACCTGCTGGCTAAGGTTTGGGGCTATAGACACACACACCTGTTGGCCCCGGTTTGGGGCTATCTACACACACCTGCTGGCACAGGTTTGGGGCTATACACAGACACGTACTCTCTGGTTCAGGTGTGTGTGTGTATATACAATATAAACCCGCACCCGCTGGCTCAGTTTTGGGGTTATATACACACACACACCTGTTGATTCAGGTGTGGGTATACAATATACACACACAGCTCATCACAGACTCATTGGAACTGTGAATTAATACTAACAACTATGCTCTCTCTCTCTCTCTCTCTCTCTCTCTCTCTCTCTCTCTCTCTCTCTCTCACTAGAACAACCTTTCACCAACATGTGTCATGGCGGGGTGAAGGGGGAAACGGCAGGCGTTGTTGATTGCCCGTGCTGGCGCTGTCAGCTGCCACATACAATAGCGAGAGACGTCACTATATCTGACATGGGTTTCTCGCGGGCTAATGAGGTTTACACATACCAGTTGAAAAAAATCATAATTATTTCTTTGGGTAAAATAAAGTGTGTGGGAATGTAGGTGGTGATGGTGGTGAGGTGGGTGGTGGTAGTGAGGTGGGTGGTGGTGATAGCTGTGAAGAGGTGGGTGGTGGTGGTGTTGGTGGTAGTGGTGGTGCAGAGGTGGTCGATGGTAATGGTAATAGGAGTAGCAGCGGTAGTAATAGTAGTAGGAGTAGGAGTAGTGGAAGTAAGGGGTAGTAGTGGTAGTAAAGGTAGTGTTAGCTGATCTCCGAACAGAAGCAGCAGCCCAGAAGTTATGTCACAGCCTGGATGAGATGTCGACTGTCCTTCTCTCTCCTTCGGTCGGCTTTGCTCTGCCTCAGGGGAACGAGAGCTTCTGCCCCTACTCTGACAACTGCTGCAGATATTGACTATGAGGCTACAGTCACTGAATGCCGCATAGATCTGCGGCTCAACTAATTTAACACAGATAGGATAGTTTATGTATTAGGATATTTAATATTAAGGTAAATAAATGGTGGCGAAGGTGTGGCTATTGGGGGAGGCTGAGGCCACGTAGAAAAAAAAAAAAAAAGTAGTAGTAGTAGTAGGGGGGGTAATAGTGGTAGTGGCAGTTACGTTTATGATGGTGGTAGTGGTAACAACAGGAGGTAAAAGTTACAGCAATAATAACAGAAGACGATAACAGCTGACGTAACAGCAGTAATAATAGCGAGATAAAACAGCCGCAGTAATATGAGATAACAGCATAAATAACACTATCAGTGACAGCAGTAACAGCAAAAATAACAGAAGCAACAGCACCAATGTCACCGACAGTAACAGCATCAATAACACCACCAATAACTGCATCAGTAACAGCATAAATAACAGCAATAACAACATCAGTAACATCATTAACAACCATCATAATATCATAAATAACAGCACAAATAACAACAATAACAGCATCAGTAACAGCATCAATAACTGCATCAATAACATTATCAGTAACAGCATCAGTAACAGCACCAATTACAACATCAGTAACAGCATCAGTAACAATATAAATAACAGCACAAACAACAGCATCAATTACAGCATCAGTAACAGCATAAATAACAGCACAAATAACAGCAATAACAGCATCAGTAACAGCATCAGTAACAGCATAAATAACAGCACAAATAACAGCAATAACAGCATTAGTAACTAACAGCATCAATAACAGAACAAATAAGAGCAATATCAGCTTCAGTAACAGCATCAGTAACAGCATAAATAACAGCAATAACAGCATCAGTAACAGCATAAATAACAGCACAAATAACAGCAATATCAGCTTCAGTAACAGCATCAGTAACAGCACAAATAACAGCAATAACAGCATCAGTAACAGCATCAGTAACATCACCAATAACATCATCAGTAACAGCATCAGTAACAGCATCAGTAACAGCATCAATAACATCATCAGTAACATCACCAATAACTGCACCAATAACATCATCAGTAACAGCATCAGTAACAGTATCAGTAACACCACCATTAACTGCATAAATAACAGCATCAGTAACAGCATCAGTAACATCACCAATAACTGCACCAATAACATCATCAGTAACAGCATCAGTAACAGTATCAGTAACACCACCATTAACTGCATAAATAACATCATCAGTAGCATCACCAATAATTTCATCAATAACAGCATCAATAACAGGAAACACCAGTAACATCACCAATAACTGCATCAATAACATCATCAGTAACAGCATCAGTAACGTCACCAATGACAGCATCAGTAGCAGCATCAATAACATCATCAGTAACAGCATCAATAACAGCATTAGTAACAGCATCAGTAACAGTATCAGTAACACCACCATTAACTGCATAAATAACATCATCAGTAGCATCACCAATAATTTCATCAATAACAGCATCAATAACAGGAAACACCAGTAACATCACCAATAACTGCATCAATAACATCATCAGTAACAGCATCAGTAACGTCACCAATGACTGCACCAATAACATCATCAGTAACATCACCAATAACTGCATCAATAACATCATCAGTAACAGCATCAATAACAGCATTAGTAACATCATCAATAACTGCATCAATAACAGCATCAGTAACAGCATCAGTAACATCATTAGTAACAGCATCAATAACAGCATCAGCAAATGCATCAGTAATATCATCAGTAACAGCATCAGTAACAGCATCAATAACAGCATCAGTAACAATAACATCATGAGTAACACCACCAGTAACAGCATCGCAACATCATCATAACATCATCAGTATCAGTAACATCATCAGTAACATCATCACTAACAGCATCAATAACAGCATCAGTAACACCACTAGTAACAGCATCAGTAACATCATCATTAACATGATCAGTAAATATCATCAATAACATGATCACAACAGCATCAGTAACAGCATCAATAATTGCATCAGTAACAATTAATTAGGCAACAAGCATCAGTAACATCGTCAATAACATGATCAGTAACATCATCACTAACAGCATCAATAACATGATCATTAACAGCATCAGTAACATCGTCAATAACTTGATCAGTAACATCATCAATAACAGCATCAATAACATGATCATTAACAGCATCAGTAACATCGTCAATAACTTGATCAGTAACATCATCACTAACAGCATCAATAACATGATCATTAACAGCATCAATAACAGCATCAGTAACATCATCAATAACATGATCAGTAACAGCATCAGTAACAGCATCAATAACAGCATCAGTAACACCACTAGTAACAGCATCAGTAACATCATCATTAACATGATCAGTAACATCATGAATAACATGATCAATAACAGTAACAGCATCAATTACATCATCAGTAACAGCATCAGTAACAATTTCAGCATTAGTAACACCATCAGTAACAGCATCAGTAACATGATCAGGCAAATACATCAGCAACATCATCAATAACATGATCAGTAACAGCATTAGTACCGTTAATCAGTAACAGCATTAGTAACAGCACTGTAACAGCATCAGCAACATGATCAGTAACACCAACAGTAACAGCATCAGTAACAGCATCAGTAACATGATCAGTAACAGCATCAGTAACAATAACAGCATCAGTAACACCATCAGTAACAGCATCAGTAACAGCAGAGGTTTTCCCCGCAGGTGACGTGGATGAGGAAGAGAGACCTCCACATACTGACGGCTGGCATCTTCACCTACTCTGCCGACGATAGATTCCGGGTGAGTACTTCCTTCTCCTCTTGTTTCAGTCTGTGTGTACCTGTGTCTGCCTGTGTCTGTATGTGTCTGTGTCTTATGTCTGTGTGTATCTGTGTCTGTCTTTGTCTTTGTATATGTGTGTATCTGTGTCTGCCTTTGTTTTTGTGTTTGTGTGTACCTGTGTCTGTCTTTGTCTTTGTGTCTGTGTGTATCTGTGTCTGTCTTTATATTTGTGTCTGTGTTTGTGTGAACTTGTGTCTGTCTTTGTATTTTTGTTTGTGTGTACCTGCCTGTCTTTGTATCTGTGTGTAACTGTGTCTGTGTCTGTGTCTGTGTGTGCTTGTATCTTTCTTTGTCTTTGTATATGGCTGTATCTGTCTTTTTCCTTGTGTCTTTAGCTGTGTCTTTGAGTGTGTCTGTTAGCTTTACAGTCAGTCTGCTTTGTCCCTTTCATCAATCAACTAAAATCTAATTTTCATAAAAAAAGTTTGGTTTCTTAGTCAGCAAACGATCATTTACAGATAAGTATAGTGTTAGTTTTGTTACCTGAGCCAGTTAGCTAAATTATTGTTTACAACAGTCAGTCAGCTAAATTAACCGTTTACAACAGCCAGTCAGTATAAAATAACCTTTACAACATCCAGTTAGCTGTAAAGGTACAAAAATATATTTAGTTTTGTTCCTATTAGTCAGGCAAGAACTGTATAACACGAAAGTAACGTTAGCTTCGTTAGCTTCCTGTCGACAGTGAGTGGGTGGTGCAGCTACAGTCGCTATCAAAAGAAAATCACGACCTTGTTTAAAATTTCATCAGCCGACCACCAGAGAGAGAGAGAGATAGGAAGGGGAGGAAATCCGTCTTTGTTGATACAGTTACTGGATTTTGTTGGTGGTAGAACGAGGCTCAGTAGTCTGTCCTGCTGGACGTGAGTATAAAGTTTTCATTACTTCAGACTAAGGGTGTGTGTGTGTATGTGTGTGTGTTCCAGCCTTCATAATGGGCAGCTGAAAAGGAATTTTGTCTGTGTTGTAACGAGAGGACTCTATGTTCGTCTTTCTGTAGAGTTATACCAACGAGCCAAAATAAAACATTGTTCGAACGAATGCAAACTCTGCCCGCGAGCCAATACCATGGCAGGGGCTTTATCTAACTAGTGACGCTGTTATTGTAACTAAATGTAGTCACCACTGGAGAGTAGTGTCCTATGTTATCATTTTCTTTGCAACGGAAAACCCATATTTTACTCTGGCAACATTTGGTCAGATTTAGAGAAATTTGCACCAAAAGTTTATCATGTGGACCGTGTCAAGCCAGCCAAATTGTGTGCTGACACACATTCAAACAGACGGATAAATGGGACCGAAAACTATATCGTGCCCCTCAGTCGTGGGCCGGGTACCAAGCTCTTGGATGTAAAAAAGGTCTTTGTGTGATATAAATCCCTAGTGGACTAAATTCAGCCTGGACAAAACCCCATCAAACGTATTTTTAGGAAAGAAAATTCTGCCTTCAATGTGGTAATAGTCGATAAAATCCAAACACGTCGCGTGTTCTCAAGTCTTGATACCCTGTTAGTGTTAGCTTAGATTGGCTGACCATACACAGGCTAGGTTACAGTACGTTAGGTTACGTGACGTTGCGTTACTTAAGTTTTCGTTACGTTACATTACGTTAGGTTACGTTTTATTATATGAAGTTACATAAGGTTACATTACGTTTCATTACGTTACACAATGAAAGGACGTATTTTATCCAGCAAAGTTGCAATTGAGATTTGTTTAGGGAGGTTAACGTAGTCACAAGCGTCACTGATTAAAAATTAACAGCTAGCCTTGACATCCACACCACCTAACCAGTGAGGCTCCAGATATGACCACCAAGGCTTCAGACCTGACCAACAATGCTCTAGACCTAACCAACGAGGCTCCAAACCTGACCAACGAAGCTCAAGACCTGACCAGCGAAACTCCAGACCTGAACCAGCGAGGCTCAAGACCTGACCAGCAAGGCTCCAGACCTAACCAACGAAGCTCCAAACCTGACCAACGAGGCTCAAGACCTGACCAGCGAGGCTCCAGACCTGATCAGCGAGGCTCCAGACCTGACCAGTGAGGCTCTGGATCTGAACAGCGGCAGCCTTGAAATTCTTTCTTCTCGGGAAACAGCAAAAGTTACAGTGATGTCTCTACCCTTTTGAAGAAATGAACATCAAAGTCTTGCCTCGATTCATTGCACATGTATTTACAAAGATGCTGGTCTTTAATCTTGAGACTCGAGGAGAGAACGTGACTGGGTGGATTTAGTTGAACCTTGGAGAAAATAACTCCCGGGCTCGCGAGAATGTGCGTGTGCGTGTATATGTGTGTGTGTGGGGGGGGGGGTTGAGGAAATATGTCCGGCACCTCATGCTCACTCACTCACTTCCGCTACTCTTTCTCAAGTTCGAGTATTACCAATAAGTCTTTCTCCCTGCAAGTGTTACACCACTAATTACTAAGTTTATCTTCCATCCTACAGGTGCTACACCCGGAGAACTCAGATGATTGGACGCTCCACATCAAGTTTGCCACCGACAGGGACTCAGGCGTTTACGAGTGTCAGGTGAACTCTGACCCCAAGATCAGCCGTAAGGTAACCCTCACTATCAAAGGTAAAGTCCTGTTGCTCCCTAGGATGTAAACTGCTACTGAAACTGTTTATTCTGACAGATTTTTTATATATAATTTTTCTACTTAGAGATGAAGAATATATGTAGCTTACCGTTATTGAAAAGGCCCTAGGACCACATTATAGAATTGTATGTGATGTAAAATGTTTACAAGAATATATAAGGTAGTACAGGACTTGGGATGTACGGCGTGGAACACTTTAAAAGCACATTCATATACCTTTGAAGACCATGCAGTGATGTGTAGTATATATTTCAAGACTTTATATTTTATTGATTTTTTTTTATATATTTAGTGAAGAATGATTAAATGGCCGTAGGTCATTGGGTAATACAATTTCTCACTATTGCATATGCTGAGAAAGGTCAATGTAAAGTCACTGTCTATTCCAAACGTGAGATTTAAGTCCCAATCACTGTCAAAGGTCAGTATCAGGTCACAAACCAATATTAGAGGTCAGTATCAGGTCACAAGCCACTGCCAGAGTTCAGTATCAGGTCACAATCACTGCCAGAGGTCAGTATCAGGTCAAATTCACTGCCAGAGGTCAGTGTGTCAGTATCAGGTCATAATCACTGCCAGGGGTCAGTATCAGGTCACACTTACTGCCAGAGGTCAGTATCAGGTCACGATCACTGCCAAGGTCAGTATCAGGTCACTATTACTGCCAGAGGACAGTATCAGGTCACAATCTAAACTGAGTCACTGCTGGGTATATCTTAGCTGAGTTACTTCTCAGTATACCTCAACAAACACTGTTCAGTATATCTCAACTAACACTGCTTAGTATATCTAAACTAACTCTGCTCAGTATATCACGACAAAAACTGCTCAGTATATCGCAACAAACACTGCTCAGTATATCACAACAAACACTGCTCAGTATATCACAACAAACACTGCTCAGTATATCACAACAAACACTGCTCAGTATATCACAACAAACACTGCTCAGTATACCTCAACAAACACGGCTCAGTTTATCACAACAAATACTGCTCAGTATATCACGACAAAAACTGCTTAGTATGTCTATATTAACACTGTTCAGTATATCTCACCTAACACTGATCAATATATCATCTAACATTACACAGTATGCTTCATCAAACACGGCTCAGTATATCTCAACAAACATTGCTCAGTATATCACAAGAAACACTGCTCAGTATATCACAACAAACACTGCTCACTATATTACAATAAACATTGCTCAGTATACCTCAACAAACACTGCTCAGTATATTACAATAAACATTGCTCAGTATACCTCAACAAACACGGCTCAGTTTATCACAACAAACACTGCTCAGTATATCACGACAAAAACTGCTTAGTATGTCTAAATTAACACTGTTCAGTATATCTCACCTAACACTGATCAGTATATCATCTAACATTGCACAGTATGCTTCATCAAACACGGCTCAGTATATCTCAACAAACACTGCTCAGTATATCACAACAAACACTGCTCAGCATATCACGACAAAAACTGCTTAGTATGTCTAAATTAACACTGTTCAGTATATCACAACAAACACTGCTCAGTATATCACAACAAACACTGCTCAGTATATCACAACAAACACTGCTCAGTATATCACGACAAAAACTGCTTAGTATGTCTAAATTAACACTGTTCAGTATATCTCAACAAACATTGCTCAGTATATCACAACAAACACGGCTCAGTTTATCACAACAAACACTGCTCAGTATATCACAACAAACACTGCTCAGTATATCACAACAAACACTGCTCAGTATATCACAAAAAACACTGCTCAGTATACCTCAACAAACACGGCTCAGTATATTACAACTTACGCTGCTCAGTATGATCTAAAACACACACACTGGAATTTAACCTACACTTATATCCCCAAAAGACATCTCACGAGTACCTTGGGAGATTATACCCACAGAGAGTGAACTTTATAGGAGAAGTTTTAATGATTACAAATTCTCCTAAAAAACGATTACATACACTAAATACAACCGGGTAATTGTAAGTATTTAGGCAATTGTAAAAAACTAAAGTACTGTACTTAAGTGTGTAATTAGATGAGGAAGGGGAAGGAGGAGGAGGAAGAGGATAATTGTCGAAAGAGGCCTCGTAATCGTGTACAAGTCGGCCATTATTCATCCTAAATGTCAAACCATAGTCTCTCTGTACTATATTTATGGGATCTGGGGGACATTTTAATGGGATTTTGGAAGTTTTAATGTAATTTGGTACTGAGGAATTGGACCACGTGTATTCTGGTAGGAATTTTTGTTTTAATAGGATCTTGTGTGTTCTAATAGGAGCTAGTGTGTTTTAATAGGAGCTAGTGTACTTTAATAGGATTTAATATATTTTACGAGGATCTAATATATTTTACGAGGATCAAATATATTTTAATCGGATCTTGTGTATTTTAATAGAACCTCGTGTATTTTAATAAGATTTCCCATAATTTAATAAGATCCTCGTGGAATATATGTGACATGTGAGACATTCTAAATAGTGTTTCTTCAGTTTTAAATAAGATTCTGTTCGTACTGGCGTTGACCTACCATTGACCTGGCGTTAACAAGTTGAGATGGCGTTAACCTGACATAAACTTGGCGATTACCTAGCGTTAACCAGGCGTTGAATCAGATTATAACCGCCACTTAAGTCTGTTCTCTAAGTAACATAGCACACACAGACACATACTTCTAAATTAAAGTATTACTTATATAATGATGAGACTTACTTTAGCTGTATATTTTTTTTGTATAAGAATACCTTTTATTTGAGTCTGAAATTGATGACGTCATGTGTGTATATTTCTAACTCTCCGTTTCTCCCTGACAGATAGCCAGTTGGATGATCCCCTGCCCTACGGGATATCAACTACTGATACTAGTGAGTCTCTCTCTCTCTCTCTCTCTCTCTCTCTCTATAGATTAAAGATGAGAGATAGAAAATAAAGGATAGAAAGGTATATATTTTTCTATCCACTCTATCTCTCCCTTTCTTCTGTCTGCCTGTTTGTATGTCTACCTATTCTCTCTCTCTCTCTCTCTTTCTCTCTCAAGTCTATGACCGTCTGACTGTCTGTATGTGAATGTCAGTCATTATGTCTCTCTTCGCATATATCTGTCTGTGTGTTTGAATGTTTACTTTTGTCTGTGTGTTTAACTGGTTGTGTCTGTCTGAATGTCGGTTTAACTGGTTGTGTCTGTCTGAATGTCGGTTTAACTGGTTGTGTCTGTCTGAATGTCGGTTTAACTCCATTTGTGTCTGTCTGAATGTCGGTTTAACTCCATTTGTGTCTGCTGAATGTCGGTTTAACTCCATTTGTGTCTGCTGACTGTCTCTATCTCTGTCTGCCTGGTTGTCTTATGATCTGTCTGTTTATGAGTATTTTTACCTTTGTGTCTCTCTTACTGTCTGTTTAAACTGTCTCTGGTTCTGAATGCATGTTTCTTACCCTTTGTCTGTCTGTCTCTGTCTAACTCTTTTGCATATTTTCCTTATTTTTTCTCGCCCGTCTGTCAGTCACTGTCAACTTGTGTGTTCCGTTTTATGTGTACAGAATTGTTGTGGTTCTCTTCCCTGTTTCTAAAAAAAAAAATTGTTTTTAATCATTTGTTCATTAATAATAGAAAAACAAATAAATACACCTTAACTTTAAATTGGATACAAGTTACTGAATATTGTAAATTTAGTACTGAAAAATAGAATAAGTTCCTCGTAATTTTATCAGCAAAAGATTTATTTACATTAGGTATACTTTTTACAGTCTTCTCTCGTCACTTGTTTTATTTACTCTTTTATCGTCATTTGTTTGTCTTGTTTTTAAATATAGTTATTCTCATTCATTTTATATCTATTATTTTTTATTTGATAACATATATGCAGTTCCCTATACTTGTAAGTCCTTATACTTATACAGCCTTGTTTCCTATACTTTTATTCATTAAACTGTACCTTATTACCCTAGTTATACGCTATATTCCTTTGTTCCTTATAGATGTGATTCCTTATACTTTATATACCTTATAGCCTATACTTTTGTTCCTGATATCCCTTTGTTCCTTTCATGAGTAGTTTCTTATACCTCATATCCATAGTTCCTTATACTGCACCCTATACTACTAGTTATACCTAATACTGCATCTTATACCCCTAGTTATATCTTATATTGCACCTAATACCCCTAGTTACACCTTATACTGCACCTTATACCCATAGTTATACCTTATAGTACACTTTATACCCTTAGTTAACCTTATACTGCACCGTATACCGCTATTTATACCTTATACTGCACCGTATACCTCTAGTTATACCTTATACTGCACCTTATACCCATAGTTATACCTCACATTCTTCACCATTTACGGATTTCAGTTTTACTTGATATAGAAGGAGGGTTTAACCCATTGAAATAGACAAAGAAATCGTATTTTAATCTGAGGTTTAAATGGATGATCAAATTGGGTTTAAATCTACTTTGCTTTAAATGTACGAGTAAATTGGGTATAAATCTGTGTTGTAATGAATGGACGAGGATATCGAGTCAAAATAAGTAATATTTTAAATGGACGAGTAAATCGGGTTTAAATCTCAGCTTTAAATGAACGAGAAAATCGGGTCGAAATCTGTCTGTTTTTTTACATGGAAGAGTATGTTGGTCTTAAATCTATGTTGTTTTAAATGGACGAGTAAATTGGGTTTAAATCTGTGTTGTTTTAAATGGACGAGTAAATCGGCTTTATCGTAATATAGAAATTAAATCCCTCGAGTCTAGAGAGATAGTCATCAGATTTTTACTATTGTTATTCGCCGTTTAAATCCCATTTAAGCAAGGTGTATGTGGGATTTATATTGATTTCATGCAATAAGAGGATTTAGATCTGATTGAAGAGTCGTAGGTATTGGAATTATATTTTGTTTTATGTGTTTATAGAATTTAAAGCGTTTTAATCCCTTTGAGGACGATGGGATTCTAAGTAAACTTTTCAAGGGGTTAAGTCATCGTACTCAAGGGATTAAGTCATCGTAATCAAGAGGTTAAATAATCATATTCAAAGGATTGAGTCATCATGCTCAAGGAATTGAGTCATCATGCTCAAGGGGTTATTTCATCGTATTCAAGGGATTGACTCATCCTATTCAAGGAGTTAAGTCATCAAAGTCAAGGGATTAAGTCATCGTAATCAAGGGGTTAAGTCATCATAATCAAAGGGATTATTTCATCATGCTCAGGTGATTGAGTCATCATGCTGAAGGGGATAATTCTTCGTATTCAAGGGATTGACTCATCGTCTTCAAGAAGTTAAGTCATCATAGTTAAGGGATTAAGTCATCGTACTCAAAGGGTTAAAGAAATATGAACACCAGGTTCCCTTTCCTTCATACGGAATAAACAGGAATTAAACCCTTTATATAAGGACGTATAGAGGATTCATTGTGTCTATCATTTAGTTAAAGGTTCAAAGCCCCTATGAAGAGACGGCACATTAATAAAAGGATTTAATCCTCTTTCTTTTTTAAGCTATATTTCACAAATATTAAAGGATTCAATCTCTCTTTTATCTCGGTTTTAAGCTTTGTTTAACTGGTTGGATCCTTTTTTGTCCCCGATTTAACTTTTGTTTTATATAGACGGAAGACAGTGAAATGCTACAGTAGAGGGAGACAAAACCGTGAAGAATGAGAGGGCTGTGGTGTATGTTCCTCCCTTAAACTCCGGGTCTCTCCTTCCTCTCTGCCTTCGTGGAGAGATTTCAAATATTATTTTTTTTTCTTCTTAGACGTATTGGTGACGACGTGTCCTTATAGGGATAAATAATTATATTAAAAAAAATGGGTAACTTTGAGTCAGGTGGAACTTTGAGTCAATGGAACTTTTAAGTCGAGTGGAACTTTGAGTCACGTGAAACTTTGAGTCAGGTGGAACTTCGAATAAGGTGAAACTTTGAGTCAAGGAAACTTTTAGTCGGGTGAAACATTGAGTCAGGGATGAATGAAACTTTGAGGAATAGTTCTTGCCATATCAAAACAGGACTTTATGTCTGAATTAGATGGATCTTAAAGCTATATCTGATATTAATAGAAATTGAACTTTATTAGAGTGAAACAAATCATTGAGGGTGAGTTAAATGGAGCTTTGATGTCACTTTAATAGTATGAGAAATAGAACTTTGAGGACGAATTGAATGGAACTTTGGGGGAGAGTTTAACGGAACTTTGAGGAACGAGTTAATGGAACTTTGGGGGAGAGTTTAACGGAACTTTGAGGAACGAGTTTATGTAACTTTGGGGAGAGCTTAACGGAACTTTGAGGAACGAGTTAATGGAACTTTAGGGGGAGAGTTTAACGGGACTTTGAGGAACGAGTTAATGGAACTTTGGGGGACAGCTTAACGGAACTTTGAGGAACGAGTTAATGGAACTTTGGGGGAGAGTTTAACGGAACTTTGAGTGCGAAATGAATGGAACTTTGAGGGAGAATTTAATAATACCACATTTAGAACTTTGAGGGTGTGAACATAAGGTAAAAACAGGGAGGTGGTGGTGGTAGTGGGCGTCAGCTTGCGTGATCGTGTGTACGCAAACAAGTGTCAGTCGCTGTCAGTCACTGTCAGCTGGGCGAGAGCTGTTTGCTTTGTTGGCTCCAGCGGGTCCTATCAGCCCACCGCCCACCACAGCTCACCACTGCTCTCCTCCGCCCACAACCACCCACCACACTCATCCCGCCCATCATGGCCCACCACAGCTCACCACTGCTCTCCTCCGCCCACAACCACCCACCACACTCATCCCCGTCCATCATGGCCCACCACTGCTCACCACCGCCTGCCATATCACAGTCCCACCTGCCACCCACCACCACCCACCACCTTCCACCACCACTCACCACTCATGATGATGATGATTTATAATGGAACTACTATGATCATAGAGTAGTTGATGATGATGACAGAAGAAATACATAAAAACACGCATATTCCCCGTTACTTCCACATAAATAACAACACCTGAGTTCCCCTTCATCAGACAGGTGTGTGAGACTCTCCCTCCCACCTCCATTGCACCTCCCCTCTCCTACCATCCCTCTACCACCATCCCTCACTTCCCTTTAAAACACCCCACCCATAAGTATGATAATTGACTACCTGTTAATACAGGGTGTAATACGCCTACAGCACCGTATACATAATCGGCCCCCACCTCCATTATAGCGAATGCTCCCTCTTATAAACGGATGCAAATTATATACGAACTGTTATTTAACATCCCAAACGTTAATGCCTATCGCTTATATAACATAAAGCTGTTAGTATATCATTTATATATATATATATATATATATATATATATATACAACGTATCACCAACGCCATTACAAGCATAACTCCAGCTGTGCTTGAACGTGTTCTTCAGCAGTGGAGGACACGCATTGAAGAGTGTTTTCAACAGAATGGTAGTCATGTAGAGCATATTATATAAATAAAAATGGATTTTCATATAAAATTTATTTTTCCTATGTATGGAAATTTATGGGACACCCTGTATATATATATAGTGTGATTTGAATGGTAGATTAGGTGATTAGTCTAGTGGATTGGGTAATTTAAAATGATATAAGCGATTGGTTTATGTGATTAGGTTGATTGGATAAGGTTCGTTAGCTTTTTATAACTAGTTTGGATCATTATATCACCGTATACTCGATTGGTACGATTATCTGTGTATGTTAAGAGATTAGTTAATGAGATTAAGGTGAGTGGGGATAATGAATTGGTTAAAGCTTTACTTAATTAGGTTATAAGATTATTTACGGTTAACAAGATTTGTCGGTCATTAAAGGCGTTTGTGTGAGAGGTGTGAGTAAACACACACACACACACGCACGCACACACACACACACACACACACACACACACACACACACACACACACACACACACACACACACACACACACACACATGTAAGCAATATAGGACGCATTGACTCCGACTCCTCATCCGTACCTCGTTGATCGTTGCGCACTAGCGCATGTGATGCACTAGCATATGTGACGCATTAGTGTAGGTATTGCACTAATGCATGTGACGCATTAGTATATGAGACACACTAGCGGATGTGACGCACTAGTGGATGTGACGCACTAGTGCATGTGACACACGAGTGTATGTGACGCACTAGTGTATTATACGTACCTGTGTATGTGACGCACGAGTGTATGTGATGCATTAGTACATATGACGCACGAGTGTATGTGACGCACTAGCACATGTGGCGCACTATTGTATGTGACGCACTAGCGTATGTGACGCACTAGCGCATGTGACGCACAAGAGTATGTATCACATTAGCGCATGTATAGTACTAGTTTACGTGACGCACTATTGTGTGTGTATGTGAGCACTATCACCTGCGTAAACGAACCAAGTGTGGTGATGGGGGGGGGGGGTTGTGAGACTACACATCCCAGCAAAGTTTTGACTGGGTCGTCCGTAGAGTGTCGAAGGCATTATTTAGTAGCATATACGTACTGTACTGGTTTGACCTCGCCCGCCACACATGACCTCTACATGACTCTACGTACGACCCTAGAATTCTTTGACCTGAGTTTGGGTAAATAAGATCAGTGGAAAATTATTACACCTGCAGACCTTCACCTGTTGTCTGTTCTCATTAGTCGTACTCCTAATAGACGTTGGTACTCAAAGGTCTTAATATATTTCAGTTCCAATAAGAATTTATATGGATTCTTCTGTATATGTTCTAGTCTTGATAGACTTTCACTTTTAATAGAATCCAGTTCTAATAGGTTTCCACCCTCAATCATATACTGTACCCACACTGCCACCATCACATACCACCGCAGATCATCACCACCACTACTATTATCATTATCACTACTACTGCCACTACCCAGTTCTACCACTACCAATATATACCGTTATCATCACCACTACCACCACCTGCCACCACTATCTACTACCATCGCCGCCTACGCCGCCGCCGCCGCCGCCGCCATCGCCGCTGCGGCCCCTGCCGCCGCCGCCGCCGCCGCCACTGTCGCCACCGCCGCTGCGGCCGCCACCGCCGCTGCGGCCGCCACCACCACCACCACCACCACTACCTGCCACCATTATCTACTACCACAAACACCGCCTACCACCACCTACCACCACTACCACCTACCACCACCTACCACCTACCACCACCTACCACCACCTACTACCACCACCACCATGACCTACCACCACCTACCACCACCACCACCATCACCTACCACCACCTACTACAACCACCACCGCCTACCACCATCACCACCTACCACCATCACCTACTACCACCATCACCACCACCACCACCACCACCACCGCTGCCGCCGCCGCCGCTGCCGCCGCCACCACCACCACCTCTGCTGCCACCACCACCACCATCAACACCACCACCTACCACCTTCACCTACCACCATCATCACCATCGCCGCCGCCACCACCATCATCACCTACCACCACTACCACCACCACCGCCGTTGCCTCCGCCGCCGTCTCAACCGCCGTCGCCGCCACCACCCTACCACCACCTAATAATGGTTGCCCCTCGTGTAACGAGGATGGCCGGCCCAAGAGCCACCTAGGCGTGAATTTGTTTAAGGTGTAGAAGCTGTCGCCAACACATCAACGACACCCTAAGTTAACGAGCTGCATGACCCAGTGTCAAGGAATGTCCGAGAAGACCGGACAACATCTAGGTCCCCAATTACCACCACTTACCACCATCACCTACCACCACCACCTACCACAACAACCTACCACCACAACCACCACCATCCTACACTACTCTCCCCATCTGTCACCATAACTCACTACTGAATTAGAATATTACGTTAAAGTATAATGAATATGGAAACCTTCCGGGAACCTCAATATATACTGGCTATAATAGATTCGTATAAGTGGCATTTATGTTAATTAAACTATTTGGCGGGAAAAAGTTTGTTTACTTTTTTGGCGTGAAATTTTAAACTCGTCCAGAATATTGATTTACGCTTTTATAAAATGGTGTTTTTATCGTTTTTATTTTTATCTATTTTTTGGCATATATATACATATATATATATATATATATATATATATATATATATATATATATATATATATATATATATATATATATATATATATATATATATATATATATATATAATAACCACAAGGAAAAAGAAAACACGAAGTTCCCAAGCGCTTTCGTGTAATTCACATCTTCAGGGGTGAGTTTCTTCTTCCTTGTAGTTCAGCATATACCTAGATCACTCACACCTACAGTGATTTGCATATATATATATATATATATATATATATATATATATATATATATATATATATATATATATATATATATATATATATATATATATATATATATATATATATATATATATATATATATATATATATATATATATATATATATATATATTTTTTTTTTTTTTTTTTTTTTTTTTTTTTAGTGAATACAGGGTAATTACTTTGAATTTTTTTAAGGAGAAAGTAATTATTTTTTCTTAAACAATTATTTAATAGTATTTTCCTGAAGATCAGTAAATTTTTTTTGGGGGGGGTGGGGGGTGGGGATTATTTAGCGAATTAGGATTTTTTGGGCGAAGGAAAATTGTTCTTTCTTATCCTACCTACACACAGGCACACCGGCAAACCCACCTACCCACCCACTCACATACCCACCATCCACACACCTACTTACTAACCTAGCTGCTATAACTATCACTAACCCACCCGCCCACCTATCCACACACCCATCCACTGACCTACCTGTTATATCCATCACTGCACACACACACACACACACACACACACTTTTCCTAGTCATCTATTACTACTAGCACCGCCCCTCGCCCACCCTCAGATATCCTACTGTCCCCCATCTACCTTCTGTTGCTGTCATCTACCACCCGTCTACTTTTTCCTGTTGCTGTCATCTGCCACCCGTCTACCTTCTGTTGCTGTCATCTGCCACCCGTCTACTTTTTACTGTTGCTGTCATCCATCTCTTAAGTGCGCCACAGGCACACTCAACCACCACATCCTTTTGTTCCTGTTAGTACATCCACCGGAGAGTATAGTCACTTCCCACCTCTCGTCATTTCCCCCAGAAAATGTCGCTTCTCAGGGCCTTTAGTTGTTTCCGTCTTGTCCGTCTCTCTCCAAGATATTTCACTTTCCAGGATATATCACTTTCCAGGATATACTACTTTCCAAGATATGTCACTTACCAGGATATGTCACTTTCCAGGATATGCCACTTTCTAGGATATGCCACTTTCCAGGATATGTCACTTTCCAGAATTTTTCACCTTCCAGGATATGTCACTTTCTAAGATAAGGCACTTTCTAAAGTCCCATCAGTGTTTAGGTCTTTTCACTTTTCAGGTTTGGTCATTTGCCTAATCTGGTCACTATCCAAACACCCTCACTTTCTATATATGGCCACTTCCCAGATCTCATTCCTTTTTATTTCTAGGCACTTTCCAAACTTCATAATTTTTCATATATGGTCACTTTCTCTGACCTATAACTTGTTAGACCTTGTTAGTCACTTTCAATAGCTCACTAATTTCCATTTGTTAGTCACTTTCCTTTCCATTATCAAGCACTATGTTACCCTGATCACTTTCCGGAGCTTTGACAAATACTTTCCAGACCTGATCACATATATAGGTCCTCATCCCTTACCATACCTAATGACTTTCCATATTCGTCACTCTCGAGGGTCTTGACAGCCACTTTCCAATCCTGATCACTTACCAATCCTGATCACTAACCAATCCTGATCACTTACCAAACTTGATCACTTACCAGACCTGGTCACTTACCAAACTTGATCACTTACCAGACCTGGTCACTTTTCAATAACTTAACAGCCATCTGTCAAACCTAATCACTCTCTAAAGTTTCATCAGACTTTCCAGACGTGATTCGTTTCCAGGGCCCCTTTTTTCCAGTTACCTTCCAGTTTCCAGCAGGAGGCACCACCCACCTCCACCATCACCTGCTCCCCTACCTGACCCACTCACTCTTGCAGGGTTTCCGGACTATATCTTTGACAACAACGAGAAGCCGACGAAAAAATCCCGCAAGAAGAACAAGAAGAATAAGGGTAGGCGTAGGTGGAGGAGGCTCAAGGGTAGGCCAAGGGGTGCATGATCAAGGTGTTGAGAAAAATAAAACAAAGAGAGAAGCTTCTACCCTCACGCTACAGTACACTTGAGGCCTTCCAGAAAAAAAAACAATATAAATATATAAAGAGGCTGTGTTTGGTTTAACTCCCCATGCTCTCTTTTCTTGCGTTTCTTTTTCTTTTTTGGTGCATGCCAAGGCTTTTCTGGAGCCTCTGTTTATTATGCTTTATCCATAGCTGGCGAGCCAACCCCCGAGGATGATGGTGATTGGTCCTAGCCGACTGTGACGTCAGAAACGTAAACAAACTTTCGAGGCGCTGGGCATTGTAGGAACTCTTGTGGCGGGAAACAGCCATTTAGCTCCAAATGCCAGAACCAGCGCGGGGAGTTTGTGTACATTTGTGAGGGTAAAGTGGTTCAGGGCTTTTTCTCCCCGCTTCCCTAGGGTGTTTTCTTGCATACACACTTTAGCAGTCACTTGCAATAGAGTTGTTTGCCAACAATATACATTTGCAAGAAAAGATATAATTTTCTTGTGGTTTAAGCTGAGGTAGTAAGTATTTCCCCTCCAGCAGAAAATAATAATAAACGAAGACAACTAGTGAGATGATATTATTGAAATTTAATTAAAACAAAATTATTGGCACATAAGTCTGCTGCAACAACAAACACTTGACACTAAAACAATTACTTATGGATAATTAGTCTTCGAAGTAAATGGCAACTCACTCACGTGATTCATAGATGGCAGGGAACTGGTGATGATCAACCGAATAAGCGATTTCCTTATTTTTTAACAGTCTGATCCAAGCACTGATGAAAGACTTGGTGTTGCCGGCTCATTGAGGATTGAGTTTCCTTATCCACACACACACACACACACACACACACACACACACACACACACACACACACACACACACACAGGGAAGCCTCATACCAGGGTCGCCAGTTGAAGCATGATATATGGTGGTACACCTTTAACAAGGCACTAGAATTTAACTAACACCTAACCTGGCACGACCTTTCAGTAGTGTGACTAACAAAGTGCACGAGCTGACAGACAGATACCTCTTAACACTTATAACACGTAAGTAACTTCGTATATATGATGGTGGACTTCGGTGAATCAATTACTAAAATCAATATATTACAGATTTGGTGGATTTTGGTTGACTGAGTCTTTCCACAGCGTGTGTATTTGTTGTTGTTGTTGTTTTATGTTGCACCGACTAAAGCTTTACTTACTAATACAATTAACACAGCCAAGGTATCCGGACCTAAACGAAACACTCGGGTGAATATGTGGGTATTTATTTTAGTTATTTGCTTCCAAGGTGAGTTAAGATCCCAAGGAATTAGGAGCCCAAGGACTTTAGAACACAAGCAATTAGGAGCCCAAGAACTCAAGAGCCCATGGACTTTACAACACAACGAATTAGGAACCCAAGAAATTAGAAGGCCAGGAACTTAGAAACCCAAGGAATCAGAAGGCCATGGACAGGAACCAAGTTGTGAACATTTATAATCTTCTCATATGTGTAAAGCCTCAAAAAACACATATATAAAGTGGTGAACTCTCTCTCTCTCTCTCTCTCTCTCTCTCTCTCTCTCTCCACTTTTCTTTTTCTGTCTCTCGGTTGTTTCTCCCTTTATCACTTTTCTCACTCTTTTCCTCTTTCTTTTTCTTTGTATTTCCGTCTATTTTTTGTTTCATATTCTCTCTTAATCAATCTGTCTGTCTGTCTGTCTCCAATTAAGGCCGACGGAAAAGTCTTGATGCAATTTTGACTCCATGCAATTCTGTTCAGATGCGTTCTCACATCTTCAGTTACGGGAAGAAAACTCAGATACGAGCCTTTGAAAATCAGGTCTGAGGAAATTTACATTCGTGAATAATGGCTGTACCGACACGAGTTCTGTGTTACATTTAAATGGCTCCCTTGGACCGCACTCCTCCTTGTGGTGTGAAGGAGCGACCGTGGTGGACCAGCCTAGTGGACCAGACCGGTGGACCAGCCTTGTGGACCAAGAACACCACACTTCCCCTGGGGTGCCACAGTCTGAATCAGGAGTCTTATTGTCTGCCCTCCTGATGTGACCAGTCTGGTGTGTGTGTGTGTGTGTTGCTTTATTTAGGAGCTGTGTATGTATGTATGTACGAATGTATGTATGATCTCGATAAAACCACACCCTTTCCTGTGTAGTTTAACGAGATTTATCTTGTCCACGTTTCCATTGTGGATCAACATAATGTATGTATGTACGTCCGTACGTACGTTCGTACGTACGGACGGACGGATGGATGGATGGATGGATGGATGGATGGATGGATGGATGGATGGATGGATGGATGGATGGATGGATGGATGGATGGATGGATGGATGGATGGATGGATGGATGGATGGATGGATGGATGTACAGTATGTCTGTATGTATGTATGTTTGTATGTACAGTATGTATGTAAGTATGTATTTATTTATTTATAGATGTATGTATTTACCATGTGACACATGTACACAGAGTAAGCGTTATAAACAAAATATATATAGATACAACTACACACACAAGGTAACATACCACACACCTCCACACACACACTGGTGTTTGAGCTGTCAAATTTGCATATGAATGACACAGTTATGTCATGACAGACACAAGTTTATGACACTATAAACAGTCTAGTTGTGCTACTACCTGTGTGTGTGTGTGTGTGTGAGAGAGAGTCGGTGTACTGTACATATATATATATATATATATATATATATATATATATATATATATATATATATATATATATATATATATATATATATATATATATATATATACATATATATATATGTATGCATACATACACATAAGTTCAGTTCTTAGTAGGCAACCCGACCATTCTCTGACCGATAATGAAGCTACACCCTCACTCACACCCCCACACTCACCGCAACACCCCTACACCCTCACTCACACCCCCAACACCCCCACAATTCCACACCCACACTCTAACACCTATACCCCAGCACCCCCACACCCTAACATCCCCACCAACATAACACCCCCAAAGCCCCCTTACCCTCCACACCACACACTGAGTAACACCTCCACACACCCACATCCCCCCAGAGTAACACCTCCCACACCTACACCCCCACACACCACCACACCCCCACATCACCACACACACACACACACACACACACACACACACACCCCTACACCCATACCCTCCTTTACACACCCTCACACACAACACCCCCACAACACCACATCCACCTCCCACCTGTAACTCTACACCCCCACACCAACCTCCACACCGCCCACACCCACCCCACAAACACACACACACACCCCTACCCCCACACACACACCCCCACCCCACCCCACACCACACACACACACACACACCCCACCCCACCACACACACACACACACACACAAACAAACCTGCCCACCCACACCCATACCCCACACCCCCACCCCCACCACACACACACACCCCTACACCCCCCACACACACACAACCTGCCCCACACACCCTTTACATACACACACACACACCAACACCCACCTTTACCCTTACACACCCCCCCACCCCACAAATACACATTTTAATTCCAACTAATAGTGTTCCCGGCCATACACTCCTCCCAACGTATTATAATACTTACTGTCTGCCCTCTGAATAACCTAACAAGTTTATACATTTTAACACGGGATTATACAGAGATCAGTTTTATTCAGAGTAGATGATTATGTTAATGATGATGATTAACAAAGATAACATGAATAGTTTGACTGATGCAGAGATGGATAACCTCAGTTGGTAATGAATCTCTCTCTCTCTCTCTCTCTCTCTCTCTCTCTCTCTCTCTCTCTCTCTCTCTCTCTCTCTCTCTCTCTCTCTCTCTCTCTCTCTCTCTCTCTCTTTCTCTTTCTCTCTCTCTCTCTCTCTACTTATCTATATGTCTATTTCTATCTTGGTTACTATGAGTGATATAATATTGATGATGTTACAAGGAGATAGAGAAGAAAAATTTATTCCTAAAATTAAGAACAGTACTGATCCAAAGAGCGAGGACCTGCCACTATTAGATGCTAAGTGCGCTAGCTGTAGCTGTCAACTCTTATCAAGGTGCCCGGGGCTAATCTAGGAGTGTGATGTCCTAGCGAGGTTGGATTTCTAGGAGTGTGGACCCAAGCTAGGTGGGTTTCGTAGCAGTGTAGGTTCCTGGGAGTGTGTGTTTTCTTGTGGGTTCCTAAGAGTGTGGGCCGTGGATAGGTGGGTTTTCTAGGAGTGTGGGTTTCCCCGGGGGCTCCTAGGAGTATGAGTCCAAGTTAGATGGGTTTTCTAGGAGTGTGGGTTTCCCCGGGGGCTCCTAGGAGTATGAGTCCAAGTTAGATGGGTTTCCTAGGAGTGTGGGCCTTAGCTAGGTGGGTTTCCTAGGAGTGTGGGCCCTAGCTAATTGGGTTTTCTAGGAGTGTGGGCCTTAGCTAGGTGGGTTTCATAGGAGTATAGGTTTCCTTGCGGGTTTTTATGAGTGTGGGTAGATGAACTTAGTTTAATTTAGATTAGGTTTAAGTTAGGTTAGGTTTAAGGTTAGGTTAGGTTAGGTTAGGTTAGGTTAGGTTAGGTTAGGGTTAGGTTTAAGTTAGGTTAGGTTAGGTTAGGTTAGGTTAGGTTAGGTTAGGTTAGGTTAGGTTAGGTTAGGTTAGGTTAGGTTAGGTTAGGTTAGGTTAGGTAAGGTAAGGTAAGGTAAGGTAAGGTAAGGTAAGGTAAGGTAAGGTAAGGTAAGGTAAGGTAAGGTTAATTTACACCACCAGAAATACCTCGTTTATTAAAGATACCAGGTAGTAATTTAGCCACTAACAACGCACTAACCACAGCTTTCGGTTTGACTAACACTAGTTCATCATTAGAGTTTTTTATTGTTAGTTTTAGCCAATAAATAGTCATTAATAAAACACCTCTGAAAAATGGTAGATCATTTTATTTACAAGAGTGAAGAGAATTTTTCTGTAGTTTAAAGAAATATATAAATTTCTTGTTGACTTGTTTGAAATAGTTGAGTAAAGTTAGAATACATTAATTTATGTTTATTTATTGTTGTTTAATTTTGTTCAATCTTTTTCACTTGTTTGCTTTTGCTCTTGTTTATATTTTTTTATTAATTTGTTTCCTTATCATTTAGTATTGTTTAAATATTGTCTACTCGTGTGTTTGTTTCTGTTTATTTTTGCTCAGGTGTTTGTTTGTCGAGTTGATTTTTTTTTCATTATTTTTATTGTTACTTGTTTATCCCTTTTTTGTTTCCTTGTGTTTGTTGTTTATATTGTTTGTTTATTTTTGTGTTTTGTAGTGTTGTTTATCTTGGTTGTGTTGCCCCCCCCTCTCTCTCTCTCTCTCTCTCTCTCTCTCTCTCTCTCTCTCTCTCTCTCTCTCTCTCTCTCAGTATTAATTCGTGGTGTCCTTTTTCCATGGCTGTGCATTTGTGTGTGTGTCTTTCTCTTATGTATGTCTGTATGTCTATATATACTGATACATGTATATATATATTGTATGTATGATTTTGTATGTGTGTGTGTGTGTGTGTGTGTGTGTGTGTGTTTTTGTGTGTGTGTGTGTCCTCCTTGTTCTTCCGTCTTGTCATTCCTAATCACTATTATTTATTATTATTGTTAAATTTTCTCCATTTCATTTTTTTTGGGGGAATTCGTCGACTCAGAGATTCAAACTTTTCGATTAAACTTTCGTATATAAACTTTTATTCCCCTTTTTATAAACTCTACTATAATGAAGTTTAGAATTATATTCCGGGTAGGAGGGACGTAAAAAAATATTCTTACTTGATTCGTGAAATATCCAACGTTTCCTGGTGAGGTCGGGGAGGGGAGGGAATTAGATTGACAGACATACAAAAGTTAATCTTCATCGTGTGTGTTCTTGTCCACTCTACGTTTTTAGGTTTATTATAAACTCTTTTTTGAGTATTTAATATGTATATATACTGTACAGTATGTGGTGTGGATGATATCATGCGGTTCCTGTAATCAAGATTTTTACGGCAGCTGGAAATTGTAAACAAACATTGCGACGCCATCTTTCTCCATGACGTTATTTCTTCAGTAGCGCATTCGAAGATGATCGATAAAACAACATTATTAGCATAAGAAATTAACTTATTTAACATGAAATTCCAATAAAACGTTTGAAAATAATATAGTTTAGACTCAAGTTCGAGAAATTATTAATAAAAGGGAAAATATTTAAGATTCCTCTCTATTTATGTGCCATATGAATGAGAGACGTCGAGTATTGTTTTCCATTCATAAAGGGAAAGATATTTGTTACAAGCATTGAACTGAAGGTTTGTGTATAATGTCATTCATTTTTTATCACTTTATAGGGTTTTAAATGATCTTTTTTTCATATCTACAAAACGCTGCCAAGTTCTGTTGGATGAATTAAGTGTTTTTATATTATTTCGGATGGATTTGAATTCTCCTCTCTCTCTCTCTCTCTCTCTCTTTCTCTCCAGACACTGCCAAGTTTTCCTTAATGAATTTATTGATAGTTTCATTAATTTTAAATAGTTTTATATAATTTACAAAGCGCTGCCAAGTTTTCCCAGATAAATTCATTAACTCTCTACATTCCCCATCTCTCTTTACACCTGTTGTACACCCCAAACCCTTCCTTTGAGGTCTTGTGTCCCCTTGATCCAACTCACACTAAAACAGGAGAGCAGAGATGATTAAAAATGTATGTTATTTCTTAATATTCAATTACCTTTATGATATACAAAATAATTTTTACACTGCAAACCTTTTCTGTCTATTTATGCCAAGAAAGGAAACCATTGATGTTGTCTATGTTAAGAAAAACGTAAGTCAGTATTTCTAGTTCTCTACCTTTACGTGATATAAACCTCAGAAGCGCCCATTAATAGTCTATCTCCACTAACCTCTTCAATACTGGGACGTCACCATTAATTTGGTTCACGCCAGGCGATCTTTTTCAGCTCAGAGGAGATCCCGCACACATGGAGTTAACTCTTGATCATATAAAATTCAATAGTTTCTCCAATTTCAAGAACGTTAATGTAAAGGGATCATTCTCTTCCCCTCAGTACTGTCACGTCTTGAGGGTCTTGTTGGACTCTACTTGAACTATATTGTATCACAGGCTATGTAGTGGAAGTTATTTGTTGTAATCTAAGATTGCTGTAACACAATCGCTCTTCACCACCGTAATGTGATTAACAGCTTCATTACAAAACTATATTACAAAGTTTATTTCTGTAATTTGGAACTAATGGCTATCATCTTTAAATACAGTTACATTTTTATATATTCATCTGCTTTATTTTCATTATTTTAACCATTTTCCTTTGAATTCTTTTTGTTGTTTTTCTTTCATTTCTTTCCTTATTATTATTTTTTTTCGATGCAGTTTTTTTCCTTAATTTTCTCATATCTTTAGTTATTCTATTCCTTTACGTCTTTATTATTTTTATAATTTCTTTCTTTCTTTCTTATTTTTGCAATTTTTCTCTGAATTTTTATCTATTCTTACATTCTGTGTCGTTTCTCAACACCTTTCTTACTATTAGTCTTTTGTTTGTATATATATATATATATATATATATATATATATATATATATATATATATACAATACTTCTCGTTCCACTTGTGCTGCAGCTGTGTTCTGATATTTGTCACTAGAGAGATCTCTTTGTCTCGCCTGTTTGACAGGCTCCACTCTCTCCGACAAACTCTATCCCATTCAAAAAGTTCCACTCACTATGACAAACTCCACCCCTTACGATGAGCCCCCCTTTCTCTGACAAGCTCCACTCTTTCTGATACACCTCGCCCCCTCCGACAAGCTTCACCCCCTCCGACAGGCTCCATCCCTTCCGACAAACACCACCCTTTACAATGAGCCCATTCTCTCCGACAAACTCCGCCCTTTCCGACAAACTCCGTCCCCTCCGACAAGCTCTTCCCCTACTGGACGAGTTACTGTGCTTTCAAAAAATAAAATAAAAAATACTGAAAATATGTTATATTGAATTAATTGTCATTTCAACGCGATTTTATTTCAGTCAGGCTTATTTTGAATGATGGGTGAAGTGAGGAGGTGTGTTGATTTTCAAGCGTTCTGATTGGCTTTTGATTTTGTGAGCTGGGACTAGGGATCCATCAGTTACTTTTACATCACACTCATTTGATTAGATATATTTATTTTATTTTAGTTCACATGATTTAAAAGATTTAGTTTTCTTTTATTAGATTAAATTGTATTCTTTTTTCTATGACGTCATGTTTTATTTTTATTTTTATTGTTGTTATTGTATTAGATTATACTGAAGCCAAGTCATTGTCTCTCTCTTATAACTTTCTTGTTTACTTTGTAGGTTACTATTGTTTTCTTGACTTTTAGTAATATGTCAAGGAATTTTTATTAATATTTAGCTCATTAATATCCACTATTGCCCATTTCTTACCTATATTTACTTATTAATTATCCATCTATTACCCTTCTTTGTCTATCATATCCCATTAATGACTAGTCTTTATATCTTGCTTACTATTTCTGAACTATTCCTGTTTACTGTTGAGCATTTAATAACTATCATAAGGTGTAGTTTATTTTTAATTGCTATCATCTAACCATTATGAATCTAATAATGACATGTTCACCCATTAATCGCTATCATTACCTATCTTTCAGTAACCGCTCACGCAAGGCCTATTTGTATCCACATGGAACCTATTACTAATCATGTATTATCCACTTTCCTATTTTTAACTATTATTAAGCATTTTCTATCATACTTTTACCTGCCCTAACAAATTGATATGTATTTATTACTCATGTTATCCATTTAAACCCATTTTACCCATATCAAACTATTTAATCTCATTTTTTACCCAATTTGCCAATTTCAGCCCATTTTCACCCTTATTTTGTATCGTTTATTTTCATTAATTTATTCCTTTACGCTTCTTCCCCTTCACGTACTACTCATACACACCAGTCTGACACATTGCTGCTTGCAAACACTCCTGACACCGCTTGCTGACGTCATCTGACATGCTCTGACCCTGCTGACACCGTCCTTTGCAACGTTGCTAACACTGATTGCTGACGCTGCCTCCTTCTTCCTGAGAGCGACGCCTCCTGAAACACAGATGAATTTCTAGCACTGCCTCTAACACTCTCTTATGCTGACGAACTGTCTTCTGACAATCGCGTTCTGACGCAACTGACATTCGTTCCCGACAATGTACTTTTGACACACACACACACACACACATCAATGACACTAATTAACTAAGACACTGTTCCTTTAACACACTCCTCTGACACACCTTACTGATACGGTTATTGACATTCATTAATGACACCATTACTGACACACCACTCATTACTGACACCGGTGCCTTCCCCCTCTTCGCTAACAGTGCCAGCAGTTTCCATCGAGGGTCCGGAAGATCGTCACATCCAGCGAGGTTCCATCCTGGCCATCACCTGTGTGGTCCGTCATCCTCCACACGAGGCTCCTGATCACATCCACTGGTTCCACGGCTCTATCAATATCGACTATGACTCAGCTAGAGGCGGCGTCTCAATCCAGGTGAGGTGGTAGGTGGTGGTAGCAGTGGTGGGTGGTAGTGGTAGTTGTAGTGGAGAGGGGTAGTGATTGGTGGGTGGTGGGATAATGGTGGAGGGGGATAATGGTTGGTGGTTGTGAAGGGGATAGTGATAGTGCAAGTAATAGTGGAAGGGATAGTGAAATTTGATAGTAGTAGTAGAGAGGATAATGGTGGGAGGGATAATGGGGGTAGTGTAGGGGTGGGGGTGGTGGTGGAAGGGGGTATATAAGAGGGGGGATAGTGGTGGTGGTGGAGTGGGGGTAAGTGGTGAGGCGATAGGAGACTATTTCTTGGTGGTGGTGGTGGTTGCAGAGGGGAAGAACAGTGGTACACAATGCTTTGTGGTACAATAGGTGGAAATAAGAACATAAGAACATAAGAATGGAGGAAACTGCAGCAGGACTATTGACCCATACTGGACAGTCCCGTTTACACCCAACCCCTATCGCTCATATATTCATCCAACCTATGTTTGAAGCTATCCAGCGCATTCGAGTTAATGATGATGTTTGGTAACTTGTTCCACTCATCCACTACTCTATTTTCAAACCAATGTTTACCTATTTCGCGCCTAAATCTAAATTTGCTTAATTTAAAACCAATGGTAGACGGTGTGACTTCTTGTGTTCATGTTGTTGTGATTTTGAGGTGCTGCATTTCGTTGTGGTAGTGGTGTAGTGGTGTTGTGGTATAATGGTGCAGTGGTATTGGTGTCTAGGTGTGGTGATTGTTTAGTGGTGTTGGTGTGTAGGTGTAGTGGTGGTGAAGGTGTAGTGGTGTTGTGGTTTAATGGTGTAGTGATGTTGGTATGTAGGTGAGGTGATGGTGTAGTGGTGTTGGTGTGGAGGTGTAGTGGTGCTGGTGTGGAGATGTGTTGGTGTGTAGGTGTAGGGATGTTGGAGGTGTAGTGGTGTTGAAGGTTTGGTTGTGTTGAAGGCGTAGTGGTGTTGGTGTATTGGTTTTGTGGTATAATGGTGTAGTGGTGCTGATGTGTAGGTGTAGCGGTGTTGGTGTGTAGGAGTAGTGGTGGTGGTGTTTAGGTGTATAGGTGTTGTCGTGGTGTTGAAGGTGTTGTGATGTTGGTGTTGTAGAGGTGTTGGTGTGTAGGTGTAGTGGTATTGTAGTGGTGTTGGTATGTAGGTGTAGCGGTGTTGGTGTGTAGGTGTAATGGTGTTGAAGGTGTAGTGGTGTTGCTGTATACCAGTAGGTGTAGTGGTGTTGTGGTATAATGCTGCAGTGGTGCTGGGGGCATGCGTGTGGTGGTGTTGTGTTAAATGGTGTAGTGGTGTTGGTGTGTAGGTATGGTGGAGGTTGGAGGTGTAGTGGTGGTGGTATAGTGGTGGTGGAGGTGAAGTGGTAGTTTAGTGGTGTTGTGGTATATTGGTGTAGTGGTGGTGTACTAGTGGTGGAAGTGTAGTGTCGTTGTGGTATAGTGGTGGTGGAGGCTTCTCATTAAATGTGTGTGTGTGTGTGTGTGTGTGTGTGTGTGTCAGATAATCCCCTCAGATAATTAAAAACTCGGTTGTTTCACCTTGACCCACTTGCTCGTCCCACACACACTAATTTCCCTCTCACTTCCCACTCCTGCCCTCTTATCCTCTCACGTCTGTCCTCTCATCCCTCACTCCTGCCCTCTCACCCCTCCTCCCTGCCTCACCCCTCTCCCCTCACTCCCACCCTCACCCCTACCCTCTCCTGTCTCAACCCTCACCCCTACCCTCTCACCCCTCATTCCTACCCTCTCACCCCTCACTCCTACCCTCTCACCCCTCACTTCTGCCCTCTCACCCCTCACTTCTGCCCTCACTTCCTTCTTAGCTACTGTTGTCTTACCCTCGTCCCCTCACCTTCACTCAACTACACTCAAGACCGTTTACATCTCCCCTCACTCTAATGAAGGCCCCTCGGCTACCTTCCCGCTCGCATGCGTCCCCTCACGATCTCTTTCACTTCCCCTCATTATCTCTCACTTTCCCCTCAATTCTCCTCACGTTTCCCTAACTCTCATCACCTCCCCTCACCCTTCAAATATCTCCAGTTCCTTTCGCATCCCCTCATGTCCCCTCAAAGACGATAAGAGTCCTCGAGAACGGCCTCAGTGGACGTCCCCCTCTCTCCCGGACGCTTAAGACACTGAGAGGGGTCTTCTGTTTCCCCTCAGCCCTTACTAGTGTACCCTCACCATGGCGTCCAGCACCACACTCTGCCTCTCATTCTACCTCTGACTCTGCCTCTCACTCTACCCTGACACTGCCTCTCACTCTGCCTCCCATTCGCCTCTCACTCTGCTTTTCGCTTTACCTCTCACTCTACCCTTCTCCCCCTCCGCCTTTCACTCTCCCCCTCCACCTCTCACTCTACCTCTCTATCTTTTACTCTATCCCTATACCTCTCACTCTACCTCTCTACCTCTCACTCTTCCCCCACCTGTCACTCTTTCTCTCCATCTCTTAGTCTCCCCTCCACCTCTCATTCTACCTCTCACTTTCCCCTCCACCTCTCACTCTGCCTCTCACTCTAACCTCCACCTCAAACTCGACACAACAACCCTCCAAGCAACCCCTCCCCAGCCCTCCTGTTACCCTCCACAACTGACCCTCCAGCAACCCTCCGTCTCCTTGAATCTTTAATATTTACAATACTAACGACTCCTCCAGGACTTTTCTGGCCAACCTCTCAAATTTCATGGATGTGTGTGTGTGTGTGTGTGTGTGTGTGTGTGTGTGTGTGTGTGTGTGTGTGTGTGTGTGTGTGTGTGTGTGTGTGTGTGTGTGCGTGCGTGTGTGTGTGTGTGTGTGTGTGTGTGTGTGTGTGTGTGTGTATGTGTGTGTGTGTGTGTGTGTGTGTGTGTGTGTGTGATGCGTTTGTGTAGAGCAGTAATTTATAAGCAAGGAACATCAGGTGGTAAATGGTGGCGGTGTTGATGGCGGTGCAGCCTCTTTAACCCAGATAGATAGATGAGGTCACGATAATGGTTAGAGAGAGAGAGAGAGAGAGAGAGAGAGAGGGATTGAGAGAGAAGGCCAGTGTACTGAGTTTCTCTTGATGGTTGGTGTAGGAAAGATTGAGAAATATGTTCTTTACTCTCTCTCTCTCTCTCTCTCTCTCTCTAAGAGTCTTTGTAAGGATGACCAAACAAAGGGGCTGTAGGTGTGCTTATGAAGTAAGAAGATAATATATATATTGCTTAAGTTCAGAAACAGGAAGGAAGCTCAAGGCTCTGAAGAAGATAAACGAGAAGATTTGACGAGAAAACCGACATGTTCATTCCAGTTTAGTTTGTCGCCTCTAATGATGCCGAGGAGTTGGATGGATTTAAAAAACCCGGAGTTTGTTGGGGCCTAATGAGAAGGAATGGAATAAAATGTCTGACTAAAATATGTAATTCTATGTACTTTAAAGTAGACCTTCCCAGTGATTTAAAAAGCAAATATTTGTATTATTACTTAAAAAGCCAGGAGCATTAGAGTGCACCCAATTTAGAACATTACGCTTAATAAATCATGCCTCCCAAAGTTTTATTAAACATACTTTTAAGCAGAATAAAGTTTAGAATATAAATTTAGTTATTTGACAGGAAAAATGGATTTAAAAATGGAAAAAGAACTAGAGAAGCTATATTTGGTTGGAGAATTTTGAGTGGCAGGGCTTTAGAGGTCAAACAAAAATGTATATCTGCTTTGTTGATTTTGAAGAAGCTTTTGATAAGGTAAATCACAATAAACTTATAGAGATCTTGGACAAAAATAGGCATTAATGAAAGAAATGTTAAAATGTTAAGGAATCTTTACTGGCAACAGGAGGCTGCATTGTTAGTAAATAATGAACTTACTAATTGGTTCACAGTTAGACAGGGAGTAAGACAAGGCTGTGTTCTATCTCCAATATTGTATAATATATATTCAGAATTCTTAATGAGAGAAGTCGTAAGTGATAATGAAGGACTAAAAATTAATAGTAAAGTAATATCAAATAATTCGCTGTGCACATGGTACTGATCTTATCACATGTAGTGAAGAGACATTACAAAAACTCGCTGACAGATTTATTGAAAAGGTGAAAAATATAGTTTAAGAGATAATGATGTAAAGACGAAATTAGTGGTTGTTTTCAAATTGGAAATAAATCCTAAAATTAAAATTATGGAAGGCAACGGGGAACTTAGCAAGTGGAAAGTTTTGTGTATTTAGGAAATAACATTAGCTGTGATGGTAGATGTATGGAAGAAATCAGAACAGGAATAAGACAAGCAAAAAGTGAATATTAGTAGTCAAAAAAGACCTAATGAAAAGAGACATTAACGTCAACTTGAGAAAAAAAAAGCCTGCTGAAAGGCGTCAGAAGCGGAGACACTTTCAGCAGACACCATAAAGTGATTGGATGCCTTAGAAATGTAGTGTTATAGGCGAATGCTAAGAATAAGTTACACTGACAGAAAAACTAATGAAGAAGTATTAAGATGTTAATCTTAGTACGTCACGCGAAATACTTTAATGTACAGATTAAAAAAAGAGATACTTATGTTATATAATTAGGGATGAGGGGATAATAAGAAAAATATTAATGGGCAAAGTTCAGGGTAGGAGGGCCAGGGGAAGGCAGAGACAAGGATGGGTGAATCTAATTAAAAACTGCGTCCCCAGAGAGATGCAAAACTTTTAGAATGGAGGGCTGTGGTCGCCAACCCTCAGATATGAAGACGATGCCCTGATTGATTGAGTGAGTTATAGACGGAGGTGTATCACTGTCGAAGGAGAGGATCATTTACATTACCTTGATCTTGGTGTGGTTGATTGTGACGTGCAGGGTGAGGGCGGTAAAATTTTGGCAGCTGTTGAGGATGTGCTGTAGGGTGCTGTCAGTGGTCGGCCTGTTCACATTGATGTTAATGGGAGTAACTTTAAGGGAGTCCTTGATGAGGATGAGGAAGCTGAGAGGTTGGGTGTTGTGGTAGAGTAATGAGTCGTAACTTACTGATGGA